TAACGAGCCAAGAGGCAATGAAACCTCCGGCGCCGGTAACACAAACAACTTTGCCGGATTCTGATGGCATGCTTACTTTTATTGAATTAAGAAGGGAAAATAAGAGGAAAAAGAAATAGTGAGTAATCTCAAGTTAATGGAAAGAGAGAAAAAGGAGAGTTTATATAGAGTTGGAAAAGCAAAAACCAAATATTCACAAACGTACCTGCTACGGACAGTAAATATTTCTTTTCTTGCCCTCAAAGAAAGTTATAAGTTATTTTCGATATATTCTCGATTTAAAAGAGCATCTCAAAAAGTTATGAAAATATATATGCATACACTCTAAAGCTTTGTTCTCATAAACAAATTTTAAGATTAACTCAATTTTAAAAGCTAGCTAAAGAAAACATAATTACTTAAATTTATTTGAGATCATATTTTTTTTTCATCTGACGTGAGACTATTCAACAAGGATAGGTGTCATTTTACCCATTTTCCAAAGAATATGAGACTTCCAAAGGATCTTCTGATAACAATCAGTCTCCTCCATGAATGTGAGTCAACATAAGTCCATTTCTTGGACATAGGATGACAATGGAGCGGGACGGGGTGGTTGCAGGGTAAACTCTCATAAATCCGCGAAGATTCCAACCCGCCTCGCAGAGCAAAAACTTCTGTTTTCAGTCCACCCCGCTCCGCCCTACATAGACCCACCTTGCCCCGCCCCGAAATAACATTTTAAAGAAAAAAATTGAGTTTGACACAATTAATAAAATTCATTAAATTAAAAACCAACACATAGTATTTATTTTATTGAAATATTTTCAAAGATTATGACACAATAGCATGCGATTGAATAATTTTACTAATACGTAATAAATATGTTATATACAGTACCTCACAATATCACCAACTTATAAGTTTAATACAAGTAGTTCTTCAAATGAAAAGTAGAACTAACCCACACCCGCATGAAATCCCTCAAAAAATAATTCAACCCGCTCCGCCCCGCCCTACACCCGCATAAGAGAAAATCCGTCCCACCCTACATCCACCTTGCCCCATTGCCATCCCTACTTGGACACATCATGTGATTTCTTATCATATTTTCATATAGAAAATTATTTAAAATGGACCCTTGTCCTAAAAGTCCACCAATTTTGGCAAAAAAGTTGTAACAAAAACTTTGAATAGTTTTGTAACTAGAACCACAAACATATTTTAGGCCAAGTATAATTTCAAACTCTTATATATCTAAGTTTAAAGTTTTTTTCTTTATGTTCTATATTATCATAAAATAGGGAATTAATGAATTCAATATTTCTTCTTTTAGATATCACAACATTATCAGTGATTTCAACTGGTTGCTCAAAATTGTATTTTGTGTCTATTTATACTTCATCGTTGTTTCTTAACCTACATCTTAAGACTAAATTGTTTTTTTAATAGAAATTTTAATAGCTCAGTTGGTTAACTATCTAAATTCCTACCTCATATATTAGTGAGAATTCAATTCCCTAGGTTGTAATCTCCTCCGCATTTCTCGTTCCCCTACCCTATTTTTAAAAAAAGAAAAATTGCTTTTGTATGCTTCAATTATTAGACTGACGCTAATGGTGGAGAAAACTGTAATTAATTTTATTTTGATTTTTAAAATAATAACTATTTTTAACTCATTTATTTTTAATAAAAATCATGATAATTAAAGAGGATCCAAACACTATCATAAGAAGAATATATTCAAACCTATAGCATTTATGGTTTTGACACTTGTCGTTGTTTGCATGGCAAAGTAATTGAATGAGCTAATATAATCCTATTTCTTTCTCTTTCACTTTCTTCATTGAAGAAATATTTGGAAATAAAATATCAAGTACAAAATGTGTTGTTTTTAAAAAAAATTATTTTGGTTATTTTTGTTTAGATTATTTAATATTTTGAAATTTATTTAGGAATTTTTTTTTTTTATATATATATTATATTGATCAATTATCATATAAAAGTATAGAGCTTACGATTAAAGAAAAAAATAATCCAAATGATCAATTATGCATTTTCGTCACATTTAAAATAGTATAGTATAAACACTGAAAAACATAAATAGAATAAATAGTAAAAGAATGTACAATAAAGAAATAATATACAAGAATACTCTTTCAAATGTGGAAAAGAAGAAGAATAATAATCGTGTTTCTAGGTTTAATCTTTGTGTTCCTTTGTATATCTTTACAATCAAATAATCTCTCTATAATGACATCATTTGTCCTAATATTTTTTTTACGTGTTATAAATAAATGTTATTACTATATAAAATATATAATATAAATATATAACATAATATGGAAATCAATTCCATCAAAAAGAACTTATGTGTTTAGGGTTCACTTCTCTTTCTAATTAGAGATTATTTATTAGGATAGAAAGGGATTATTGTTCTCTAGAAGATTAATGAGGAATTTAGTTGTAGACGCATCATAAGTTATGGGGTTTGACAATTAAGTTTGAACTAATTTAGAGTTTTTAATTAATGAAGTATAGATGTAATAACATATAATTACATACTCATTATAATCAAATATAGAAGCATAGTAGTTATTCTTTTGTACGATTTATTATGATCCATATCTGATTATATGATAGAATCATTCAACTCTCACTTGAATATTATAACCTTAGGATCCCAATTCTAAAAATAATGATTTCTCGAGTAGTTAGTAAAAGAACGTTCCATTCTTATATAAGTTATTTATGTCATTTTATTGACAAATTATTTGAGGCAATTGTTTTCTGTTTTTTATAATATATCGATCTAGATGAGACGTATCTCAAGTTGAAATCAAAATTTTAGAGACGAAAATTATAGTCTTTTTCAAGATCTATCATGTCAGAATGTGAGTCATTCTTTCTTTCTAATTAACGACCGAATATCTGAAAGAAAACCTAAATCTGATTTGACAATCATAACATTATTATTTATGATAGGAAAAGTTTTATATTTCTATTTCAGTTTATTACTAGATTAAAATTACAACCAAATATCTACACATAAGATCTCATATTTTAGACTCATTAATTTCATACCTTCACAGATCACTTTTAATTTGGATCAGTATTTTAACGATAACATTTGTCATACAATTATTTCTAAATATAATAACCTAATCGAAACTGAAATCATAATACAATAATCGCTATTTTACTAGAATCACGCCGCATGTTTAGTTGTATTCACTTCCTCTATTCCAAATTATATAAATAACATGTAGTTCGTCTGTCACACAATCACCTACCTAAGCCCCCATAAGCTCGATAAGTGTACATGTTATCTTTCCAGATCACACTTTGTGTGAACACACTTCATGTATTGTATGTATATATAGCTAATTAGAATTAATTTCAATTTGAAAAACTTATAATGTAATTACTCGTCGATAATTATAAGCTGCAAGTTGGAATCTATTTTCTTGGAATAATTATCATTATCAGAGTTGGTCTAGATGGATACTGGCTATTAAAAAAAAGTAATTAATTACTACAGGATACAACCTCCACATTATAACTTCCATTATATTTAAGTCTATAATATTTTCGATCATTGACGGATTTATAGTAAATGGAAATTGTCAAGAGACAATAGCAAAGAAAAATCAGAAGTAGATATTGTTTGGAATTAAAATAGAAACCATGTTTTTGTTTCTAATTATATTATTATTATAAACCTTAAACGATTATTATTATTACTATTATTATTTGTTTATAACAATATAGTAAGAGTTTGGTATAGTAAAGTCGAAGACGCAAAGACAGATTAATGAACGTACAAATTAAAAAGGCTTTTCTCTTATCTATAATCTAATTAAATAAATTAGGTAAAGGGTGATGTGCCCAACATGTATTAACATCTACGATTTTAAAAAAAAAAGCTATTAATATGTAGCAGTTTATAAATAAGGTAATATAACCAACAAAGGGTGTTATAAAATGGTGAGTCGCTTCATCCTTAATTAGAGATCGAGTTTAGTAATATAAAAAGTTGACACTTCCCTTATATTTATTGTTTAATTCTCTTCACACATGGACTTGTGATATGCTAAATTAATTCAATTTATCATGAAGTCTGTTTTTTAAAAATCTTTATTCAATTATTGCGTGCTAAGAGTTTTAGCATAAGTATAATTAAGATTTTTCAGTAGGTGAGCACTACACTCAACCAGAAATAACATCATCAAATTAAAATCATGAAGTCTGTTTTTTAAAAATCTTTATTCAATTATTGTGTGCTAGGAGTTTTAGCATAAGTATAATTGAGATTTTTCAGTAGGTGAGCACTACACTCAACCAGAAATAACATCATCAAATTAAAATGCCGCAACAATTAAATATGAATTAGATAAAATTGAGGGGTTCATTCAAATTTTTTTTATTTTTTTTCAGAAAATGATAATATTCTTACATTATTAAAAAAAAATCCTACAGTGAGGCTACAAATTACTTACAATTTTGTCAGTTTCAATTTGTTCGTCTAATAATTTGCATGGGAAGACATAGCTCTCAACCTGCCACTGACAAATGACAACTCTTTCATTTTGTCTTCTTCTTTTTAACTTGCATAGCTTCCTGGTTTTATTAATTTAACAAGTTCTAGAAGCATTCTGGATGGCGTTGGTTTATAGAAGCTTCCTAAAGGTGCCACACACTAATATATTGTGTTTCACACATAATAATAAAAAAATCATTGAATTTTTTTTTATGTATGTGTATGACTTGAGTCTGACCTCAGCATGATAGACATACTACACTCCACTAACTAGATGCAACTTTTGGGCCAAAGAATTCTACTGTTTTACTCGAGTCCGGCTCCGAAATGGACACTTTTTGGACGCTACAAACCAAAAGTGACCCTCTCTAAAAATACAGACTAAAATGAACACTTCACCCATTTTATGAACGAACTGTGATAAACAAAGTTAACTAAAGTTAGTTCACCCAAAAACTCAACTTCACAAAAAGAATTCACATCACTTTGCTTTGTACAACAAAGAGAGAAATGAAAAGAACTCTCAGAAAAAATCAAGTTGCAAAAGGGAAAACAAACAAATAACAGGAAGAAGCAGTTGGATAATCATTCATGTCCTCAAAAAGGCGATGCACCACCATGAACTTGGTTGAGCATGGAATCCACCAGCTGTACATTCAAATAATTAAACTAATGATCTCATAGCTTTCAAAGTTAGAAGCTAATGGAATTCAATAATAGTACAAAGTTTTCAGATTTGAACTAGTAACGACTAATGACTACTGACTTTTCCCCAAATAAAAACTTTTAACATCTTTATATTTTAGCTTCCTTCATTTTGGCAATGCTGTGAGTGCACTGGCGTCAATGAGCTATCTAAGGCAACTTCTAATGTCTTGGACTCTGCTTGTGCGAACATGTCATCTTCATTGTCCACAAGTTGTTTTTTCTCACTGATCGTTTCACAACCAACATCAGATGCATCCTTCATCTTATCTGGAATGGGAATATCCAGGGACTCAGTGTCACTCTTTTGGGCTTTTCTTTTAGACCTGAAGATAGAAAACCTACCCGTCAATACCCTCAAACATTTAGTTCAAAGAGCAACACTGCAGGGAAAAGTGTACAACAACAAAATTATAACCTTTTGGATGAAGATACTCCGTGTTCCTTTTTTGTTGAGGGGGTTTTTCTTGCTTTCTTCTTCGTGGATCTGCTCAAGTTCAATGAATAACCATATCATATCAAAACAATAGTAGTGGCTAATCAAGGTGATGCGAAATACATTATCTAACATAAAAGTAGTAGGCAGAAATAAACATGAAAAACAAGAGTCAAGAACAAGTAAAGAACTAGGATATGTCCAAGGTCAGGAAGTTTGGAAATCAATACTTACAGAGAAGATGAAACATCATTGCTTTGAGGACCTGTCTCATGATTCTGTACATATTGAATCCAAAAAAGGAATCATATCAGAATGGTGTATAATGCCAATGATAATTTGAAAATATGTTAAGAGATAACACAGTATCAGATGGAGAAAGGACCTTGTCAGATGGTTGGATTTCAAGCGCCAATGACCTCTCAAAGGCAACTTGTTCCTTGTCCACAAATTCTTTTATCCCAGTGCTTGTTTCGCAACCAACATCAGCAGCATCATTCATCTTATCTGGAATTGGAATATCCAGGGATTCAACATAACTCTTTTTGGGTTTTCTTTTAGACCTGAAGATAGAAAACCAGCTTGTCAAAACCGTCAGAACATTCAGCTTAGAGAGCAATACTACTGGCAAAAATGTACAACAACAAAAGGACCTTTTGGATGACGAGACTCCAGGTTCCTTTTTTATTGAGGGGGTTCTTTTTGCTTTCTTCATGGATCTGCTCAAGTTCATCAACCAATAACCATATCATGTCAAAATAATGGTAGTGACATATCAAGTTGAAGCAAAAGACACAATCTTTAACATAAAACTAGTAGGTAGAAGTAAACAGAAAAGATGACAGTCAAGAACATGTAAAGAACTAGGATTATGTCCAAGGTTGCAAGTTATGTAGAAATCAATACTTACGGAACAGATGAAGCATCATTGCTTTGAAGATCTGGTTCATGTTTCTGTACATATTGCATCCAAAAGAATTTGTCATACAAAGATATATAATGCCAATAATTTGAAAATATGTTAAAAAAGATAAACAGTATCAGATGGAGAAAGGACCTTGTCAGATGGATGGACTTCAAGCGCCAATGAGCTCTCAAAGGCAACTTGTTCCTTGTCCACAAGCTCTTTTATCCCACTGCTTGTTTCGCAACCAACATCAGCAGCATCATTCATCTTATCTGGAATTGGAATATCCAGGGATTCAACACAACTCTTTTTGGGTTTTCTTTTAGACCTGAAGATAGAAAACCAACTTGTCAAAACCGTCAGAACATTCAGTTTAGAGAGCAATACTACAGGCAAAAATGTACAACAACAAAAGAACCTTTTGGATGACGAGACTCCAGGTTCCTTTTTTGTTGAGGGGGTTCTTTTCGATTTCTTCTTCATGGATCTGCTCAAATTCATCAACCAATAACCATATCATGTCAAAACAATAGTAGTGACATAACAAGGTGATGCGGAAAACAATCTTTAACATAAAACTAGTAGGTAGAAGTAAACAGAAAAGATGACAGTCAAGAACATGTAAAGAACTAGGATTATGTTCAAGGTTACAAGTTATGCAGAAATCAATACTTACGGAACAGATGAAGCATCATTGCTTTGAAGATCTGGTTCATGCTTCTGTACATATTGCATCCAAAAGATTTTGTATCACAAAGATATATAATGCCAATAATGTGAAAATATGTTAAAAGATAACACAGTATCAGATGGAGAAAGGACCTTGTCAGATGAATGGACTTCAAGCGCCAATGAGCTCTCAAAGGAAACTTTGGAAGTCTTGGATCTCTGTTTCTGTGTGATATCGTTATCTTCCTTCTGCACAAGTTCTTTTTTCCCACTGCTTGTTTCAAGACCAACGTCATCAGCATCATTCATCTTATCTGGAATTGGAATATCCATGGAACCAATGTCACTCTTTCGGGGATTTTTTTTTGGACCTGAAGATAGAAAACCTGCTTGTCAAAACTTTCAGAACATTCAGTTCAGAGAGCAATAATACAGGGAAAAGTGGCAACAACAAAAGAACAACCTTTTGGATGATGAGACTCCGGGTTCCTTTTTTATTGAGGAGGTTTTTTTTACTTTCTTCTTCATGGATCTGCTCAAGTTCATAAATTAATAACCATATCATGTCAAAACAATAGTAGTGAAAACAACAGTCAAAAACATGAAAGACGACAGTCAAGAACATGTAAAGAGCTAGGATTATGTCCAAGGTTACAAGGAAATTTAGAAATCAATACTTACAGAACAGCTGAAACATCACGGCTTTGAAGATCTGTTTCATGCTTCTGTACATATTGCATCAAAAGAATTGTTTCATAACGATATATAATGCCAATTATAATTTCAAAACATGTTAAGAGATAACACAGTATCAGATGCGGAAAGGACCTTGTCAGATGGATGGCCTTCAAGCGTAAATGAGTTCTCTAAGGCAATTTTGCAATTCTCGAGTCTCTGCTTCTGTGTGGTATCTTTATCTTCCTTGTCAACAAGTTCTTTTTTCCCACTGCTTGTTTCACAACCAACTTCAGCATTCATCTTATCTGGAATTGGAATATCCATGGACCCAATGTCACACTTTTGGGGATTTCTTTTAGACCTGAAAACAGAAAACATGCTTGTCAAAACCCTCGGAAAATTCAGTTCAGAGAGCAGTACTGCAAGGAAAAGTGTACAACAACAACCTTTTGGATGACGAGATTCCGGGTTCCTTTTTCATTGAGGAGGTTCTTTTTGCTTTCTTCTTTGTGGATCTGCTCAAGTTCATCAACCAATAACCATATCATATCCCGACAATAGTATTGGCATATCAAGGTGATGCAAAATACAGTCTCTTACATAAAAGTAGTAGCTAGGTAGAAGTAAACATGACAGTCAAGACTATGTAGAGTTCTAGGATATGTACAAAAAAATGATTGGAAATCAATACTTACGGAACAGATGAAACAGCATTGCATTGAAGATCTGCTTCATGTTTCTGCACAGAGTGCATCCAAAAGAATCATATCACAAAGATGTAATGCCAATGATATCTTGAAATTGTTAAGAAACACAGTATCAAATGGGGAAAACACCTTGTCAGATGGATTGTCTTCAAGAATCTCAAACTGCTCCTTATTCAGATTCAAGGTTTCCGTTTCACCATCATCATATGCGATCTCAAAAGGAAAAACAGCAAATAACATCAGTCAACTAAAAACTTCAGTTAAATTCACTACTTTCCCTTTTTCTGCAGTTTTAGCACGATGACAGCCTTCCAGAAAGATGTCTTTTAGGCTGTGTAAGGTCATTATATCAATAGGTAAAAGGGACTTCTGTTGCAGTGATTATATTTGGTTTGGAAATAGTTTTGCCTCTAGTTATCAGGAAGATGGAGTCAACCTCGGTAAATAGTTTGCCTCAACATTACTTAGCAGGAAGATGGAATCAGCTGGACTTGCAGATATTTTGGAAATTGTAGGAGAATAATAACAAATATAACATTTGAAATTAGTCTCAAGTTATATTGAGAAGGAAAATGGATTCATACTGACTACTGATGATGAATTTTTTGAGACTTGGGAATGGTGTATAAATTCTTGTCATTATTAAAAGAAATATCAGAACATTGCAAAGTGAAACATATATGATATACTGGGAAGAAAACTGTAAAGATATTAATTAAAAAACAGTGCACGAAGGTTGATAATAACGTCACTACCTGATGCCTCTTTGTCACATGATCAAATCCAGAAATTGCACCCTCATAGAACCTGCAAAGGAAAACTTAAAATCAAAAACTTTAGCTAGATTTCTTTCTTTTTTCTTCTTTTTTTTTTTTTTTTTTTGAGAGAGAGATGGTAAGTGTGCTATTAATATAATTACCAAGAAGGTGCAGGCAAAAGTATTTACAGGATACTAAAAGAACATCCCTCGCTATTCTTATAGAAATTCTATGAGATCTATCACTGTTTTAGCTAGAATTCTTTCTTCCATTTGCAAGACACGATAAAAGTCAATTTAGTAGAGACAATTGAAGATGTGCTCTGATGCTCCACAAGTCAAAGGAATGAAGCAGACTCTTCGTGACAGCCTAGCAGGCAAGCCAATTTTAGAGATGATAAACTTAAAAATAGAAGGACTCAAGGATGAAAAATGCTGGGATGAGAGTGGATCTGTAATTAGTACCACAAATTTACAATAGTATGACAGTCCCGACAACATTCTGTAGAACTTACATTTCGTCCAATGGCCACCAAACTCTTATTCTGGTACCAACTATTTCTTCTCCATATTTTTTGGTGAACTGACGCCTTTTAGAATCCTGAATGAAACAATTAAGAACCATAAACTCCTCAGACATGAAAACACTCTTACACACCAGATAAATTGAAAGCAAAAGGACTTAAACAAAAACTAGTTTCAGTCCTTTGAATTGTATTGAAAAGAGGTACGCATAGCATTTTCTGAATTCAAGGAGAATAAAGCAGCTTATAACTTATTCTTACTGTGATTGGATTCCTTTGAAAAAGCAATGAAGTCACAGAATTTGGAAACACACTACATTTCAACAACACTAAGTGAACACAAGAAAACTCTGCAAATTTTGCAGATATGGAAACAAAGGTTATACTTCAAAAGTTGCTATATTAGTACCTGATCCTTTCTTACGGTAAGATTCCTCCGACGCTTTGTCTTGGCAAATTGGCTGGAGAGATTTTCATCCCCAAATGATAGTTTAATCTCCTGTAAAACCGACAAACACAAAGGGAGAAGTAAAAAAGAACAGTGATTGTCAAATTTGTGCTTGAAAAAAATTATAAGCACAGATCGAGAGATAGCAACTTCTAAGAAGTCCTCCTTTCAACCTCATCTCCTGATTCTTCTATATCATGAATCTCTTTCTTCTGTTTCTTTTCATCAATTTGTTGCACTGATGACTCCTCAGCATCAGTAAGGTTCTCTTTTCTTTTTACAATGTTAAGACCAGAAGTGGTGTCCACATCACCTTTTGGAACAGATCCTCTGTTCCTTGAGCTCTGACGTGGTTTTCTTTTGCTACCGGATTTGACCTTACAATTGCTAACACCAATATTCTTTGGCTGCTCCATCTGACTGCAATGCTGTAATGTTTTTGAAGAGGTGCCATTATTATTTGAAGGCGGCCCATCCTCCAGTAGTGTCTCACAGATAACAGCAGCAGATGGACCAACTTTTTCAGCAGTCACATTTTCATTTTCCGTCTGACCATAAAACTAATGTTAGCAAAAAAGGAAAAGAACAGTTGCATACAAAAAGATGTCATGAGTAGGACACACCATTTGTTCTCCCTTGGGAATTTCATTGCAAATAGAGGCAATGATTTCTCCATATTCATCAAGATTCATGCTTCTTGATTTGAGGGCTTTGAGAAGACAAGGTCTAACGGTGGAAGCACATTCTTTCAGGACCTTCTCTCCCAACTTTGACGAGATAGGTGACCAGATCTGTACAGTATAAAAGATCGAGTAAAGCACTAAAGAAACATGATTAACAGAAGATCAATAGGATGAGCTTTATTACTTGATTTTCCTTTCTGAGGCTATCAAGAAGGGGCTGAAGGAGCTCCATATTGACTTCATCACTTTCTTCAATGAACAGAATCATGATTACTTCCATGCTTGTGAATACATTATTAGGATGGTCGGCCCTTGAAAATATACAGCAACAAACATAAGCATTCATCAGAGGAAACTTATGCATGATAATCTTATAATCATTTGGTAGTTTAACGTACGGTCGCCCCTCCAACAAGAAAAGGTATAAATATGGAAACTTCTCTGCCATTTGGATCGGAGAATTTATGGAGGAAATCGAGTTTTAAATTCCCAGAAACCGCACGATTATATAGCCAAAGGGAATAGGCCGCGCCTAAAATCATCCCAAGCGCTGCTAATGTGACTACTAAGCTATTTCTTTGGAAAGCTCCTACTAAGATGAGAAAGTCCCGCTAGTACCAAGTGAACTCATATTGGCCAAAGTGGAAGAGAAGAAAATGGTAGAGAGATTCGGCATGGTGCTCACTGAACCTCCGTAATATCTAACAAGTCGAGTCCTATGTCGGTCATATAGAACACCAACACATAGAAAAAGGGCTGAAGAAACCAGTCCATGACTTGACATCGGTAGAATGCTACCTCTAATTCCCTGTATGTTTGATAGAGCCAAAGATTCCCCCCACTGATCGGAGTACGCCGATTACCCCCCGAACCGTACAAGATAGTTACCACTTATATATCATACGGCTTTCTAACTTAACTTCTTTTTCTAATTGTTCCACTCTATCGATCGATGGTAGTATAAGAGATCTTTAACCCCCCAAATTTTTTTACATAATGGTTCTTGCTTCCTACCCATAGTTAGCATGTATCTCCCCCGATCATACTTTAGTATCACATCGTAGACCCCCACCCCAACGCTATCTTCCTTATCAGTGAACCGGAACATAGTGCATAGGTACTCTTCGATGCAGTGGGACGAGACAACGTGACATACTATGATCACGTACAAAAGTGTTGTCCTTCGTCTCGGCAATATGGAACCTCTCAACAACTCCCGTTCTTTTATGGGGTCCGATCAGGATAGGTAGGCCCAAGCCTTTTCCCTCCCCCCTCCCTCCATAAGACCCTCTTTCTCTTTCCCTCTCGGGAAAGAAAATAAGAAAGGATTCATTTTTTTCTTTCATGTGAAAGGCCCTATCTTGTATCGAAAGGTTTTTTGTGCTATACACCACGTTGAGAAAGACCAACCTCCTATGTACCGTAATCTTTTTGTACCTCGAAAGGGGGGTCCTCCTTATGATGCTACGGACAACTGTCCGAAGTGCAAGGGGTAAACTCGGACTCAGATAGGATAGGATTGTGCGCGCCAGGCCCTTCGGGTCTCATATTTTGGCCGAGTTTACCGTACCTTCGTCCCCTATGTTAGGCTACCGTAATATTTTGTTAGTTCTACCGCTGTTACGCCAGAATAAAATGTTCCACACGAGCTCCCGTTCTGCGGCATGGTGGCAGGACCGCTAGGGGAATGGCTCCGGGTATAGATAGGGTGAAATCTGCAAGGGTCATGCAAATACATAGGCCCCTTCCCTTCTCTTTTGGATGAATGGGGTGGTTTAGAAGGCGCTTTCCGATTTACGGTTCCTCGGAGCGAAGGGTTAGGCAGGTAGTATGGGCCCTCTAACTTCCAGTTATGTGTTGTGCGGCTCCCGCGAAGCGAATAAAGGGAAGCTCTTCGAGTGGCATAGTTGTATGATGCCAAACAATTGCCAACATGCATAAATGTGTCAAACAAAGATGTGCAAGAACTTAAGTATCAAGAATAGTTAAATATTTGCTAATTTACCTGATGATCCTGAGAAACATCCGGATTATCTCTACAACCAATGCATGACAGTCAAGGTCCAGCAATATCAAACAGGCCTTGACTTCTGCCACAGTTTCAAGTACATTCACAGCCTTACGATAACGGCGGCCCGAATGAGACAGCTCTTCCAATGTTCTTACAGTAAGCTGGAAAATCTCCTGAGATTTTTCAAAATACAAGTGTGTGAAAAACAAATGGTAATGGATATAAAGTTTGAGCAAGAGGCATTAGCAATCTAGTCTCTCTCTCTCTCTCTCTCTCTCTAGTGTTTGTGTGTAATGTGTATTAGGAAAATAGAACAACAAACTAGAATGTTATATCCTGGATACCTTCATTAGTTCATCATCATAAGGCTGCAGTGGAGCAGATATTCTAGAGATCTCGTAGATACAAGATACAACAGAAACTATAACATCTGCATCAGTGTGCTTTAGAAGTTCACTTCTGACCACAGCTTCCATTACTGGTTGAAGGGCATCTTTCATTGAATCGTCAGGGGCTTGAGCTACCTTTATCAACAGAGATTCTACTTTCTAAAAGACACAAGAAGTAAAAGTGAGTCAACTTGCAGCTTCCATAAATTACTGAAAACGAGCAAACAGCTTTAGGAAATTACAATCCCAGTCAATAAAGATTAAGTCGCGGACATGGAAAAATTGCTCTATGGTGGAATTCATGTACTTTCCTTTATATTTTAATTCCAAAATCATTATACCAAAACCACATTTTCCACTTCCATTCCTCCATTTCTGATTCAACACCATGTCATTTATAAAGTTAAGAACAAAAAAACTTCTATTTAGAGATAAAAATTCATCCTGATATATAAGAAAAACTAGGCATCAAATTTATCTAACAAACAGCCCTTCCCCCAAAAAGTTCTTATTGTTATCAAGGTAAGATCAATCTAATATAATAGGGCACAAAAAGAGGCAAACACACACATTTAAAGGCTTCTATTTGGAGACAAAGAGCATCCTGATAAATAAGGAAAACCAGGCATCAAATTTATCCAACAAACAACCCTTCCCCTAAAAAGTTCTTATTGTTATCAAGATAAAATCAATCTACTATAATAGGGCACAAAAAGAGGCAAAAACACACACATTTACTAGATTAAGAACAAAAGGCTTCTATTTGGAAACAAAAAAGCATCCTGATACATAAGGAAAACCAGGCATCAAATTTATCTAACAAACAACCCTTCACCTAAAAAGTTATTATTGTTATCAAGATAAAATCAGTATACTATAATAGGGCACAAAACCAGGCAAAAGCACCATCTACTAGACTAAGAACAAAAAGCTTCTATTTGGAGACAAAAAAGCATCCTGATACACAAGGAAAATCAGGCATAAAATTTATCTAACAAACAACCCTTCCCCTAAAAAGTTCTTACTGTTATCAAGATAAGATCAATCTAAAATAATAGGGCACAAAAACACACAGATAAAACTAGTACTTTATATGTAAAGAACATGAAAAAAGATAAAAGTTGAATCTTTACATCAAGAAGACTGATGAGCTCTTCAGTAGAATGAGGAATGTTGATGAGGCTATTTGCACAATCTTTTAGCCCATCTTCAATTTCTTTCTGGGAAGGAGAATCAGCCATTTTCACAACAGCATTCACTCTCACTCTCAAAACCTCAAGAAAATCTTGTATAAAAATTTGCCCTTTCAAGAACCCCAAAAATAAATAACACCCTAGGAAGAAAATGCAATCTCAGACACAACAAATGCTGATTATATACAAGTGGGGTTTGTGTTTGGAAGCAAATTTAGGGACAAAATTGGCATACATAAACAACCCCTCCAAACTGTAATCTCCACTGGATTCACTCACATTAATTGCATTTTTTCTCAAATTTTAAGTTTGAAATTCACAACTTTTTTCAGGGTGTTTGTGTTTTTCTCGTGTACTGTTTGCTTAATTTGGCACACTCTACGTGGCTCTGTAAAAGTGCAGAAAGACACCAAATTTTTTGTTTCTAGAAGTTCAAGAAAGGACCTTTTTAAGACGGACAAAAGAGAGACACTTTATTTATTGGACTGTTATGTCCTTGGAACATTGAACTTAGATTACTTGTACGGAGGTCTTTTTCTATTTTTAAAATGTCTAAAATTGGAAAAAAAAGTTAAGTTTTATTACATACACACTTTAGCGGCAAAACTAAACTTTGATTTCTTTGTATTTTGTTTTCTCTTTTTTTTATTGGAAAATTTTGTTTTGACTATTAAATTGGAAAAACTTTTACTTTCATTGCATACACATTTGACTAGGTGTTGTAATTAATATTGAAAGGTAAAAAAATCAACACATTTTAATGGCATATTAAATGTGATAATTTATTATTATAGAAATTTATTATTTTTCTAAATAAAATAATATCGATGGAACTTATTATTATAGAATAATTATTCTTCTAAATAAAACAATTCCAATGGAATTTAAAATAAATTGTGTTAATTGTGTTTTTCACTCAACATATGGTAGGTATTTCACATTAAATCCTCGATTAGTTGGTATTCGTAGAGGGAACAAATTCCTAATAAAATATTTTCAAATTCAAGATTTGAATTCGAAACATCTGATTAACGATTGAAGAATCATATACATCGCATCACAACACTCTTGTTTATAGTAATATTGCCTAAATTTATTGAGATAATCCTATTATTTAAATTTTCTATAGATGTTGGTGTGAGTAGAGGTGTCAATGAGACGGTTCGGTTGGTTATTTTTAAAAAAATTATGTCATCCCAATTTTTTTGGGTAGTTTATAATGTATAAAAATTACATTTTTTTAAATCATCCCAACATATCGATTTCTCTTCGGTATCGGTCCATTTCGTTAAATTTTCATTTTTTAAAATATCACCTAAAAATATACTATTATCAAAATATTCTTTCACAAGTATATTCTTGAAGAAACACTTCAATTATTCACCAAGAAGTCAAGAATGTAAAAATCTTGTTGTCGTATTGTTTGATCTTAAACATTTAATAGGAGTGCTTGCATAGATTTTATCGTATTGTTTGATGGAGTAGCTATTATAGTCTCTTTTAATTTTAAACATAATTAAATAAATGCTAATTAAAGAGCAAAGATCTAAAGTCGTCCAGTCACCATAGGCCTAAGACTTATGTTATATTTATATTTGAAAAATATTATAAAATATATTTATATATTAAATTTAGCATATTGTTAATATATAAAATATATGTACATATTATTCGTTTCAGTTCAGAAAATTTCAATTTTTTTTTATAAATTTAAAAAGATCATTTATATTTGGGACAGTTATACACTTAAATAAAAATTTACGATTTTATTAAAAAAATAATATAAATTGGTTCGATTAGGTTCGATCGATTCAGTCAATTTATCCTATTCTTTTGACACCCCTAGGTGTGAGTGCAGTTTTTGCTTCATAATGATATGTTAGATTTATGACATGGTAGCTTTGTTTGATGTTACTCTTGTAAATTTATATAGTTGGTTTTTACTTTCTCTTAAATATTTGGCAATATGTAGGATTTTTCTACTGTTAATGGAAGCTGCTTTTTTGTCAATAAGGTTTGTGATTACTTCATCTTTAACCAGAAGCATCATGTTTGAGTCTTACGCATGCATTACTTTTGTTAGGAAATGTTTTACTCCAATTTTGAAACTTTTCGTTATTCGAATTTAGTTGAACCCTAATAAAAATATCATACCCCAAAGTAAGAAAAGAAACAATTTTTTGTTGTACATTTTTGGATTCCTAAAATGTAAATCTAGTTGAAATCCATTTTTAACTTTTCTTGTTGCGTGCAAAAAGTTTTGATGTTGCCACGACTGCAAATCTTTTTGAGTGCATGTGGAATAGTTTGTTTTTAACTCACATAATGTTTTACGTATTTGATCTTTCAATGTTGATTTTGTGACACCTTTTAAATGAGAACCCATTTTTTATATGATTTCAAGAGATTTCCTATGTTGCTTATATAGTTTATTCTCTCACAATCATACACTGGATATTTTTAGTAAAGATACAATAACTAATATTTGATTATTAAGAAACCATAAACATTATGTTTAATGAATTTATTTTTACAATGAATTATTGCATTCTTGAATTTATTTTATAATGAATCATTTTAAAAAAAATGTTAGAATTTAATATAGTTGAGAAAATAAATATAGTTCTATGTTTGCACTATTACATGAATCTACTTGTTGAGTCTTTTTTTATATATCCAAATTAAACATTCAAATAAAGAAGGGTAAAGATTGCAAATTAACATGTTTCATATTTGAAGAGGAACATATATTTAGAAATAATTTACACTTTATTTTGAATAGCATTAAAAGAATAAAGAATAGCATGCAATACGAGAGTTCTTAGTAATCTATTTTACAAAAAAAAAAAAAAAAAAATTAATATTGGAATCTGGGACCATAAATAGTCCTTCAATTATAAATAAAGAATGAATCGCTTTTAAAAAGTTTGTGACTGAAATTATCAAAATATTTCATTTTCATTTTCTACCTCATTATTGTAGAAACAATTTGATTAACGGAAAAACTACCTAAATCCACTACTTTAGATCTAACTACTAGGAATCCTGATATATAGTTTTCAATATTACTTTTTATATCACTTTCGGTTATTGAATACATGCATCATAAGCCGTTAGATACATATATCTATCAAATTTAAAAGGACGAGATACATGATTTAATTGATCTGAATTAAATGTTGTAACTTAATTTCTTAAATAAAGGAGTAAATGATGGGAAATTAACAAACAAACCGGATTTAGTAGATCCATCTGTATCAAGTATTACCAATTTTAATAAAATATCTAAATCATAAAGATTAGTAATTCTAAAATTTTAAACTTCATCTTCTTCATCAATTAAGGGTTTTTTTTTTGTTGCAAATGGCGAATATCACAATATTATATAAAAAAAAAAGTCTCATAATTTTTTAGTGTGTATCTCGGACAAATAATGTATACATGATGCTTAAGAGTACTAATTTGCGTAGAATGTATAATTTGTTAGCCATGTATCTCAAATTCGTTGTGAGTATATGTATAGAGAATTCATGATAGTGTTAATATGTAAGTTGTATCTTATATATATTAAGCATGTATCTCGCAGTCTCAATGATTATAACTAAGTCAGGAGAGAATGAGTTCATGTATAAGTCACCCGAATGCATAAGTCAGTAGAGAATGCGTTCATGTATCTATTTATAGCGCTATATCCTTTTATAAAAAGTTTTGAGTACGGGTCAGACTTCATATATAGATACCAAAACTGAGATAGCAATGAAATAATACACCAAATCTATAAAAAATCATATCTGAAAAACATACATTCCTTTCCAAAAATCAGATACACATTAAGAATCAAACTACATACTTAGATACATACATTCTGTTTCACTAAAAAGTATAACAAAATATGGATACATAAATTTTATTCAGTAAAATACATGACAAAACTGAGTTACATCAAAATCGACCATCAGATACATCTCAAAAACCATATACAAGATCTACCACTTAAATAATAAATGAATAATATATAGATACCTCACAATCACATTTTAAACTTCTACAGTTAAAGAAAAAAACACAATTGATGATTAAAGTAATGTTTACAGTTCTGCTTGAATCATCTTATTGCTCGGATTGTGCATTTGTGGTTGTATTCATTCTAGCAACAATGGAGGACCAGTAATGATGGTGAAGAACGTGGTTGGAGAGAGGGGAGGAAGACCGATACAGGAAGATGAGAATTTGAATTGTAAATGTACCTTTAATTAAAATCTTAAAATAGTTATTTAATACCATATTTAAGAGATTTGTTTATCTAATTTAACTTTTTAAAATATACGGTATAATTATTAAAAAGTAGTATTACGAGTATTATTTTTAAACTATAGGTAAAATATTTATATATGGTAGTTAAATATGTAGTTTATCCTTAACTTAGAGCATGAGATATTGATTGGATTAATTCAAGAAACCGTAAATACCGTTGAAGTAGAAGATCATTAAAAAAAAAAACATTATGTGTTGAAAAGAATGTTAATGAATTCATTTTGTTAAGAAATCAATGTCTTGTTCTACAATTTGAAAGGCATCAAAACCTAGTTGCCATACAGTTTGATGGAGGAGGATTGATATCGACATGGTATTGTGAATATCATTTTGTACAATCTTAAATGTAAACAATTACTAATCAGGAATAATATTTGAATAGTTGAAACAATCATGATGAAGAATATTTGGAAAACGTTAAGGACATATTGTCCTTTTCTTATATGACTAATATTCTAACCAGATTGAAAATGTAAATATAATTATCTCAACTCAAGCACCACCAAACAAGATAAAGAAAAGCAGAGAAGATATGCTCAGCTTTGAGCTTGATATTCACTATGTCATTCAACTAAAACTATTAAGGCATTGAGTGTCGGTCTAGCCCAGGATCAAGGCTCAAAGCATGGCAACCAATCAGATCCATCTATCCTCTTAACTTGTCATATTTTACCTTAAGAAAGGTCTCACCATTGGTTAACATCAGATTTGAAACATATATTCCCATACTAACAAACCTTTTCTTTTCATTTG